AAATCGTGTTTTTAAAAAGTAACTAAGTAATTAATTACTTTTGAAAATAAGTAATCAGTAAAGTAACGGGATTACTTTTTTGGGGGAAGTAATCAGTAATTAGTTACTGATTACTTTTTTCAAGTAACTTGACCAACACTGCTTGTTTCCTTCTGTGAGCTGCAGATCTCTGACCTGGTGCAGGTTCATGGACTCGTGCAGAGATTCAGAAACAATCCACTATATCAAACCTGAACATTATTACGACCATCTGAAGGAGACGGAGCCTTTTGCGTCACACAGTGCAGCAGTTTTGTTATTAAAGAGCAACAAGCTTTACAGGAGCAGTGAAGCTGTTATTGCTGGATATTGGTCCAGGCTGGTTTGTGATTGGATGCTCGTTTCTTCACACCTCTGTTGCTTTGAGGAGCCAAGATTGTCATCTTTACAGATCAAAGTAAGTTGGCCTGAGCTTTGAATATGTGAGTCGTATGTCTGTTTATCACGAGTACACACATGAAAGAAAATCATGATTTTTTGCTGTGGACTGAAGACTCCTGCAGGATATCCATCCACCTAAACACCAGAATCCAAAGTGTAAATAAGGCTGGACGACAGCATCAGCCAACACGTCGGATTTGATCATGTTTCTAAACAAGATTGGGAAAAGGATGCTGGGTGAGCGCCACTAACTACCCACAGAGAGAGCAGCACACTGCAGATCCATTAAAGCACCTCCACAGAAACCAGCTGTGCTTCCAGAGAGGAAAACAGGAAGACTTCAGCTGTAATTCAAGTCTATTCTTTTTCTCTACTTTTAACAGAAAGTCTATTCAGGCATCAGGTGGATTCATCCTCAGTCGAACCAAAGAGGCGTTTCTGCTCCGCTATTCGCCCCCAAATTGATTTTCCATATTTGAACTGTTGTGAATCACTTCATGTAAAATCATTTCCAGACGTGTCTCTAATGAATACTTGAAGGTGAGTCAGAAAGAACAGGCAAGGTCAAAGGTCGAAGCTGCTACCACTTTTTCACTTTCATTAAAAAAA